TATGAAGGGTAAAGGGGCATCAATCCTTTCAACTTGCTTAAACCGTCCCCACCACCACCACCAAAGTTTCCACTGTTACGAAGATGGTTGTCACATTATAAACATTGCTGGGCTTACACAGATAGACTAATGTGTTCACACAGGCGCACATATACAGTCTCCCCCACCCCCCGCAAGACTACTAAACATTGTTGAGTATCTTTTTTTTTTTTTTTAACATAATCCATGGGCATATTTCTTAATAAAGACATATAGCCTTGTTTCATTCTTTACTGTTTTTTTTTCTTTCTTTCTTTCTAATGAATGCTTCCATTTTTCCCTAAAGGTAATTGTCCAGGATTGAGAAACCAACTTACTTTAATGGTAGAACCATTCATGAGGATACTGGGGTACCTGGTAACTCATAGAATTGAAGGATGTACCAAATCAACAAGATTCCATCAGGCATCAGGAGAGCTCTGAAGAGCTCAGTGACAGGAGTTCGGGGATGTTTTCTCTAGTGGAAGATTTTTAACATGACTGCTCTAACTACCTTCATTTTCAGTATCTCTGCATGCAAGGTTGAAATCTTTAGAACCAAAAAACATGTTTGGTCACTTTGGGCAGCATTTGTCACTTAAATAGTCAGCTATTGTCATGGGAGTAAGGGCACAGAACTCAGACATTGGCCTCTGGGTGCCCTTCCCACAGAAGAAGGACCAGCAGAGTAGCCACCCCAACCAACTTCTCTTTTCAGAGAGGCTCTAATTGCTTCATGCCTGGTCTGTTCCAGTCTCTCCATAAGCCCAGAAGATTCTCTTTAACTGTTCTATTCACAAGTAATTCTTAAGATTTATTTACATGTAAGTAATAAAAAGAGGATTTAAAAAATTCCCTCAGTGGTCCTGAAGGCAGTAACTGACTTTCTTTGAATTTAGAGCATTGTAGTATGTAAATATAGAATTTCAGTTTTCCATCAGTGTCTCTAATTGTTCTCTGTAGCTTTTGAGATTGAATTATTAGCCCGGCCGGGCGTGGCTCAGCGGTTGAACATCGACCTGGGATCCAGGCAATCAGGGTTCGATTCCCGGTCAGGGCACATGCCTGGGTTGTGGGCTCAGTCAATGACTCTCTCATCATTGATGTTTCTATCTCTCTCTCCCTCTCCTTTCCTCCCTCTGAAATCAGTAAAGATATATTTTTTAAAAAAAGGAAAAGATTGAATTATTAGTCCTTCTAGTGATCACATATACCAGGCATTGCAGAAGTTGTTAAATAAAACTGTTCTTGTTGGTCGAGTCACCTGCCAAAGATGTGGTTGGGCATGGGGTTGGTGGAGAAAGGAGGAAATTTACCTTTGTGGAACCACAGAAGTTTCAGAAAGAATACTCTGTGGTATTTTAGGAACTATGGCCCAAAATAGGAAACTGTGTTAACATGGTATCTCAGTCAGTTCCAGCTGCTGTAAAGAAATACCATGTACTGGATGACTTAAACGACATTTAATTTTCTTAGTTCTTAGGCTAGAAAATCCAAGATCAAGTTGCCAACAGATTCAGTATCTGACAAGGGCCCTCTTCCTGGCTTGCAGACAGCTGCCTTCTCACTACGTGTTCACATGGCCTTTCCTTGGCATGTGTTCTTGGTAGAAGAGATCCCTGGTGTTTCTTCTTCTAAGGATACTAATCCTATCACAGGGGCCCCACCCCCATGACCTCATCCAAACCTAATTAATTACCTCCCAAAGGCCCCACCTCCAAATAGGATCACATTGGGTTTCAACATATGAATTTTGGGAGGACACATTCAGTCCATAATACATAAGTATATGGATTTGAAACTGCTCTTGTGTACTCTTAAATATACTAGGCTACTTAGGATACCATATTTGTCAAGTGTCTTTATAGCTCTCAGAGTTGGCCCTGGGGAGGGAGTTCAGCCTTTGAAGATCATAGTGCACCTGTGTTGCTTTGGCCACAATGTTTTAGGCCATCTAGAAGAGACTGTTGGCTGTCTCTTTTGCCAGTCATGTTGGGTTGTTTCTAAGTAACTATTCTCAAATTGATGTCCAGAAAATACTGATATCCAGAAACTTGTTTCTGCTCACCATGTAAATAAGACCACGTTGACAAACGGAGAAGTTTCAGTTCATTATAAGAAAGGTTTTGGTGAATTCTGTGCAAGAGCGTAAAAAGTTGATTTGAAAGGCACAGATTTCCTTTGACTTGGCAGTCATCTTATCCTGACAGCATTTAATGTAAAATCACTGTGGCTAGAAAATAATCTTATTAGGTTTTAATTAAAAGCACAAGGTATTTTTTCATGTCTCCCTCTCATTATTGATCTCTTTTTCATCTTTTTCTTTTCTTCCTCTTCACTTCCTTGTTCTCCCTACCCCACCCCCCTTTGCCTCCTCTTCATCATCTTTGAGCATTTAAAATGTTTTGGGCTTGGCTAATCCCTATGGATAGAAACTGAGCTGAGCAGGATATTGATTACCAAATATGGTACTGCTGCTAAAGATGTTAGAGGAATGTGGCTTGTATTCTAAGCCTCCAGCCTCTGAATAAGCTGCCAAACAAATTAGGTCATTTTAACTTCTTAGTTTTTTTAATAAGGATCTGGAACTTTGATTTGGAACATGACGGTGGTGGTATTTTCTCTCATGTGGAGGAGGGGTATAAAGAGGGGGATGGGGAGTTGGGGAGACTCTCTTCAACGTGTTTTAGGACCTGAGCCACCAACCCAGGTTGTGTCAGAGGCAAGCATGTGTGTGGCGCCTCAGTTGACTGAGACAGCAGTGAAAAAGCTGAGACATGGAATTCCGATGTGCAGCCTCATCACCTGAGGCTGGAAGCTCAGGTGGACAACTGACAGCTCCCAGGATGTTCTCATGTTACAGTGCCAGGGCCGCAGTGCTCAGGTTGATGTGGGCTCAGGTTTAGGAGAGTTGCTTCTTCACAAAAAGGTTGATGGAGTTTAGTGCTGGTGAGGACACCCTCAACTTGATGGCAGGTTGTTACCATGTGTGGCTTAGGATGTATGGTGTGAATATGCACATCCTATCACAGCGTACCTTTATTTATTTATTTATTTATTTATTTATTTATTTATCTTTATTGATTTTAGAGAGAGGAAAGGTGCATGAGAGAGAGAGAAAAACAATGATGAGAGAGTCGTCACTGATCACTGCTTCCTGCACGCCCCCTCCTGGGGATCAAGCCCACAGCCTGGGCATGTGCCCTGACCTGGAATCAAACCTTGATCACCTGGATCATAGGTCAATGCTTACCTGCTGAGCCACGCCAGCTGGGAGCACAGCGTATTTTTAAATGACCCACAGGGACTGGGGTTGCTTCTAGCAAAGACGACAGCTCTTCGGGTCCATATTTAGAAATATTTATTCTGTTGTGATAATTAGCTTTGATGAGTAAAATGCTCTTAAGTGGAGCAGATGGAAACAAACACTACTTCAGAATTCTGCTTTGTTCTTTTTCCTTATATAAATTTTTGGCAAGATAAATACTAAGGTTTCCCAAATTAAAACAAAAATTGAGACCAGTTAAAGAATTTCCTTTTCTGTTTCATATAATTGGCACCTCCTTTTCACTTTTTGTTGTTGGTTAGGGCTGTACAAGTAGAGTCCCTTTCTTCCTACCCACCCCACCCCTGCCTGTTTGCCACCTTCAGTTGGTTTCTTCTGAGAATCTTAAATCAGGCTCAATAAGAAATTCTACTCACTCCAGGACATCTATGGGTCAGGGCTCTGTGGCTTTTGTTGTACCTCTCAGAGGACCTGTCTTTCCTCCCCACCCCCACCTTATTTTGCCTACTGCTGTTACCATCCAGTCACAAGCTCTTCCTCCATCTTTGGAGCTAAGTGTGTGATGTTCAGTTGTTCATCCTGATCGGCAGTCAGAGATTCTTACTAATTTCCTGTGGAAATTGCTCTTGAGTTTCTTCAAGCTGAGCAATAAGAAGAAGAAGAGAGGGGGCTTTGGGGCCCACAGGCCTACGTGTTCTTTAGGATAGTCGTTTTCAGAACTTCACTTCTTTTCCAGAGCCTGGGACCCAAATCTAATTTGGATGCACATTTATACACTATACTGGGATACATTTTTGATGCTATGGCTTGGGTTCAGAATCCATGTTGTTATGAGATGATTTGTCATGGAGGCATTCTTGAATGGTGGGATGGTTTCAGAATACACTTGCTTATCTTGCCCTAAATCTTGTATTTTATAGTGTTTGTGAATTATTTCATTGAATGTTTCTGTTTTAGATAAACTGCAATAATAGGGTCAGGATACTTGAAATGACTATCTTCTCTCTGGCCTATCTCTGTTGTTTCTCTGTGTAGCTAATAAGCCAAGTATAATCAAGATCAGAACTTAACCACATCAAGATATTTAGGTTTTATATAAATTTATAATATAACTGGAATTAAATGATACTTGTTATATTAAAATCTTAAAACTGTTTAGTTCCTGCCTTCTTAGTAACTCAGAGTACATATATCACTGTTATGAAAGTTCTCCAGCTAGACAGGGATGGGAATTCCCACCCCCGGGTAGCTGATGAAAACTGAGGCATTGAAGAATTACATTAAGTCAGTGTCAGAACACTGGTCAAGCATGGGCCATTTTAGCCCTAGTGTTGTACAGGGCTTTACATGAACCCTTTTACTTTAACTGGTAACCATTAATTAAAGTTTTTAACTATGCTCGTAATTTGCTGGTCTAAGTTTAAAACTTGAATTTGAAAGTTTTTCTCCAAGAAGAAAACCCATGAAGAAAAGTTGAAAACCCATGTAACTAAAAATGAAGTAAACTAAATCTTCCCAGCTTTCTGGACATGTTGTGTTACTGGTTTTTGTATTCTGTGCAAGTAGTAAGAATGAGAGTTCTTGCTTTTTTTCTTTTTCAGATAGGCCAAGATTTACTGGTGTGTTTATTTTGTCACTATTCTGGTTTGACTCTAAGGAAATGAAAACATCTTCCATTTGTTCTTTATTTCTAAAGGGCATCCGCTTCGATCCTGAAATTCCGCAAACACTACGACTAGAGTTTGCTAAGGCAAACACGAAGATGGCCAAGAACAAACTAGTAGGGACTCCAAACCCCAGTACTCCTCTGCCCAACACTGTACCTCAGTTCATTGCCAGAGAGCCATGTAAGTGGATCTACTTTTCATTTTTAAGGAAAAAAAAAAAAGGATCACTAAGACTTGTTCATGTGCTATACACCACTGGACACAGCTGGCTGAATGTCCCTTCCCAGTTATTTCTATGGGGAGGCTGCCAGTTCTTGCTGTCTGAACTCCCAAATATAGCTGTCTTGTTTGTGATTGGCTGTGTCAAAAGATGGTTCAGCTCGAATAGAACTATAACTACAAAATTTCATTTGATGTGTTGTAGATTTCCTTAGTGGTCTTGACTTTATCCTGAGTGTGCCCTCTTTGCCTTAGAGTGAAAGCCCTTTTTTATTTCCCCATCCTTGGACAAGAGAGCTGGTTCTCAGAATTCACTCTACTTCATTTCCTGAAGAACATTAGTTCTGTGGCTTTGGGAAAATACAACGTTAAAAGTGAAAGACGCAGACGTTAAGAAGTTTATTCTATTTTTGAGAAGAGTTTAGCCATAAATCTCGGGGGGAAAAGTAAACACACAAAGCATTTATATATTGGAACAATCAGTTCCAGCAAAGTGATACCGGGAAAGATTTAAGGAAATCTGGAGCTTTCTGTTTGAAATTAATTGGGTAAGGACACTGACTAATTGTTAACCAAGTCTTTTAGCGCCCTTCATGGCTTACTTGCTTAAACGTCCAGGCTACAATTTCTGTGTTTGCTTGAAAAGGTTGTCTTAATGTTCTTAAGCACAGTTACCAGCAGAAGTGAAGCATGAGATGGGCCTTTACTTTTCCTTTCATTTCGCAGCCGTATGTGATTGAATATGGCAGGGCATCCAGGAATCCCAAGTGACTTGCTGTTATTTGGAATATTTCTGTACTATCATTCTTCATCTTCTTTCCAAACCACATGATCTTCATCATCTTCCTGTTCTCTCTGACAGTATGTTTCAACTTATTGAAATTGAAGGTCACATGGGTTCCTTTCTTGCTCCCGTCATGTGCCTGTCAGATTTAATCAGGTCATTGTGGAAGTTGCAGTCATTCTGTAGCTCAGTCACTCTAGAGAAAGCTGCTGCTTGTTGGTGGAAAACAACAGATAAAAGAGTTTCTCCCCCAGTGTGTTCTACAATTTTCTACAAAGTAATAATAGAGAGAAAAAATTTGTTCTCCCATGTCCTAGGGAAACTTGAAATCTGTGTTTATTTGGGAAGGAAATCTAAATGAAAGTTTAATTTTTAGGTGCAGGGGCACTAAGGGAGGATGTATGGACATTTCTTACATAATTCTGTATCCTCACAGCATTTAGCTCAATACTTTGTATGTTGCATATTATTAATAAATATGTTACAGTGATGAGTGGGTAAAGTAAAAATTTTAATTTAGCTATTTACAGAATAATTCCATTTATATGCCTCTTCTTTTTTTTTTCCTGAAGTTTTCTCTCTCTTAAAAGGCATCAGACAAAAGTATTTGTGGAAGACCTTGATTTAGAAAAGATAACCTAGAGCAACTCTTTACTTTTCTAGAGAATTTGCCTGCCTGAGATCTCAGAATGCTTTGAAAAGATTAATTCAGACTGGAAGTGGAATGCTGGCCATACTTGACCCTTTCAGTTCCTTATGGAATGCTTTATCTGGGAGGTCAAAGTGTTTTCTAAATCTGCTACAGCAGCTCTGTGAAATAGGTAGCCAGAATGTGAGAGCTGGTTCACAGCAGGGTACATAGAAGCAAGGGAGATGAACAGACCAAACATTCACAAGTCCCTGAAGTTATAGGAGAGCTTAACCACATTTAGATAGTGCTCTGGCCCACTCTACCTACCTCCATTCCCCATGTACAGGACAGCTCAGAAGTAGTCAGATAGTTTCCATGGCGGGCTCAAAACTTGCCTTGCTGCTCATGGCAAAACAAACTTGAAGTTAAAAAAAGATATCCAAACATGTATTCTTGAGAAAATAAAAGTTAGCGTGATATCTATTAATATAGCTCCTTTTTATGACATAGAGGCCTTGACAAATAGCAGTTCCACTGTGACTCAGATCGACCTTGTCATCTATTAAAATTCCCTCTGGAATTGTGAACTTCCCTGTCACATATGCAGAATTGTTGCTTTTCTGGAAGCATAAGGCAGACTGGTGGTTCTGAACTGGTGAATCCAATTGCACTATGTGCATAATTGGTGCTCAGGGTAGTCGGTTTAATCACTTATCAGGAATAACTGCCTCGGAATCAGAGACTTTGAGGGTTAGAAAAACTCTGGTGGCTTCTGTGTTGTAGGCTCTGAGGAAGAGTTTTTAAATAAATGCTGCTTTTTGTTGATTTTTTTATGATGGTGGCTGCAAAGTACCCATTGTTATCACTAAAGGAAGAATCTGCTATAATTCAGTTATACAACAAATATTTACTTGAATTCTCATTTCTCAAATATCTGTTGAACTTAAATGAGTACCCAGTATGCTAGACACTGGGGAAGAAGGGGACTGTGGTTGTTGCCTTAAAAGAGCTGTCAGTTCAAGGGTCTGATGATGGTCAGTGTTGTCAGGAAACTTGGCCTGTACAAAGGCTGTAGAAGATAACTTGCAGCTTAGTGTAGCTTGCACCAACTCATACCGTATTTGCTGAGTGCCTGCTCTATTTGTGGTAAGCATGAAGATCGAGAAATCCAGTATTGCAACTTTCCAAGGTAGAGGTGGTGGCCTCAGTGGAGATCCTTGGCCTTAGACTTGACGATGTCAGTGAGAGCTCTGACTCTGCCAGTTATTGTCAAGCTTTGTGACCTTAAAGAAAAACATTTAACCTTGCTGTGCTCCTTTTCCCTCAACTATAAAATGGGAATAGTACCTTCTCATGATTATAGAGCTCAATAAAATACTGTATGATTGTGTTGATGGGTGTAATATATGTAGAGTACTAGGCAAATGTAAAGTACAATCTTTTTAAAATATGTTTTTATTGATTTTAGAGAGAGGAAAGGACAGGGAGAGAGAAGCAACGATGTGAAAGAGAAACATTGATCTGTTGCCTCCCGACCACACCCTGACTGTGTCTCAAACCCTCAACCTGGCATATGCCCCTGATCGGGAATCACACCAGTGACCTTTCAGTGCATGGGACAACGCTCAATCAACTGAGCCACACTGGCTGGGCTAAAGTACAATCTTAGTTGTTTTTAATCCTCACCTGAGGATATGTTTGTTGGTTTTAGAGAGTGGGGAAGAGAGGGAGAGGGAAAGAAAAAACATCGATTGGTTGCCTCCCATATGCATCCTGACAGGGCAATCAAACTTGAAACCTAGGTATGTATCCTGACCTGGAATCGAACCCGCAACCTTTTGGTGTACAGGCTGATACTCCAGCCAACTGAGCCACTTAGCCAGGGCTGTCTTTTTTTTTTTTTCCCAAATATGTTTTATTGATTTCAGAGAGTGAAAGAGAGAGAGAAACATCAATGATGAGTCATTGATCAACTGCCTCCTGCACGCTCCCTACTGGGGATCAAGCCGGCAACCTGGGCATGTGCCCTAATGGGAATGGAATTGCAATCTTCTAGATCATAGGTTGATGCTCAAATGCTGAGCCCACCGACCAGGCGGCCAGGGTGATCTTAATTTTTTTAAAAAGCACTGAGTTACTTATATTTCTTAGTAATTAAAAATAGGTATTGATTTTATGAGATATCATAACCCTGTGACTATAGCCAGTTGTCTTTGCAAATTAGGAGAAAGGATTAATAAAATTCACATACAATCCCAGGAAAGTAGTACATTTCCCTAACTTAAATTTTTATTAATTTACACTTCCATTTCTTGTACTCTCTTGTATGTAATAAAGTAAGAAAAATACGAGAAGAAAGCAGAAAATAAGAGATGTAGGAAACATACGTTATGTGAAATTCTTCTAGATTATACAATTGACTGTACAGAAAAGTAGTATTGTGTAGTGTAGAAACTCCACTTTAGAGATGAAAACAGGGCAAGTCACCATGGCTCTGAGTTTTGTTTTTCTCATCTGTATAATGATGATACTCTGTGCCAGACACTCTGCTAAACATTTTACATTCATTCTCTCATTTGATTCTCAATAGCACTATTTTACGTTGATATAAACTGAGACCTAGGAAGGTTCAGTAACTTGCCTGAGATGACACAATCATCAAGTGTTAAGGGTTGAATTGTGTTCCACCAAAATTCATATGATGAAGTACCAACCTCCAGTAGCTCCAAATGTAACCATTTACATTTGGTTACATTAAAGGGGTGATTAAATGAAAATGAGGCCATTAGGGTGGTCCCTGATCCATTAAGACTAAGCAAGGAATTTTAAAAAGTTGTCCTTCCTACTCACTCTTCTCCCCCTCCATTGCATTCCTCCCCCCTCAAAAAGCAAAAGCACACTCTATTAAATGGATACTCTTAAAAACCTTGTAAGCACATAACAGTTTAGTGACTCATCAGGCCACTTCCTAGTTTTCCTGCCACACCACTGGAATTTCCCATTTATCCACTACTGACCCTGGATGAGAGGGGAGCCCAAAGTGTGAAAAGGAAGTTCTGGAGAAAGATGGTAACGGGGACACTCTGGGCAAGTCAGAGGCCTTGGGCAATAGTAAAGGAGAGGCGCAGGGAGGAGACTGGAGGAGGCAGCTGGCTGCTGAGAGTAAAGGAGATGAGCACATCAAAGGATGGAGGCTGAGCTTGCAGGATTATATGTACTTGACTCATGCCCATTCCCTCTGAGGCAGCTCCATAGTGGGACTGTCTAGGGATTCTGTTCTTGTGGGCCAGTTTGAAGCTACCAAAAGTGATGTTCAAAGAAACATGCCAGTGATTTTCATTCTGTGTATACAGACTTCATGATGATTGAGTAACCCAGTGAGCAGTTGCTGACCACCACCGCCACCCCCCCTTCCCCTAACACAACCAGGCTTTTGTGGACCCCATTGTCACATCACCGAGAAAAGCCTACAGTCAAGAGTCAGGACGCACATGCACCTGCCATTCACGATATGTATGAGGGTATCTGTCAGGGGCTTAGGCCCTG